CGACTCACACACACACACAGACACACTCACACATCTCTCTACTCTCACACACACACAGATATCTCCCTACTTACACACACACATCTCCCTACTCACACACACACACACTCACACATCTCTCTACTCACTCACACACACACAGATATCTCCCTACTTACACACACATCTCTCCCTACTCACTCTCACACATATCCCAACACACGCATGTAGAGAAAGGGAGCAGCAGGGGAACGAGAGACATGGCGAGAGAGAGGGTGGGGGGAGAGAGATCAAGAGATAGAAAGAAAGACCGAGAGAGAGAGAGATTGCGAGAGAGACAGAGAGAGGGAGTGAGATAGAGAGATGATGAGACAGAGAGATGATGAGACAGAGAGAGGGAGTGAGATAGAGAGATGATGAGACAGAGAGAGGGAGTGAGATAGAGAGATGATGAGATAGAGAGAGGGAGTGAGACAGAGAGATGATGAGACAGAGAGAGGGAGTGAGATAGAGAGATGATGAGATAGAGAGATGATGAGACAGAGAGAGGGAGTGAGATAGAGAGATGATGAGACAGAGAGATGATGAGACAGAGAGAGGGAGTGAGATAGAGAGATGATGAGACAGAGAGATGATGAGACAGAGAGAGGGAGTGAGATAGAGAGATGACGAGATAGAGAAATGATGAGACAGAGAGATGATGAGACAGAGAGATGATGAGACAGAGAGATGATGAGACAGAGAGAGGGAGTGAGATAGAGAGATGATGAGACAGAGAGATGATGAGACAGAGAGATGATGAGACAGAGAGAGGGAGTGAGATAGAGAGATGACGAGATAGAGAAATGATGAGACAGAGAGATGATGAGACAGAGAGATGATGAGACAGAGAGATGATGAGACAGAGAGATGATGAGACAGAGAGATGATGAGACAGAGAGATGATGAGACAGAGAGATGATGAGACAGAGAGATGATGAGACAGAGAGATGATGAGACAGAGAGATGATGAGACAGAGAGATGATGAGACAGAGAGATGATGAGACAGAGAGAGGGAGTGAGATAGAGAGATGATGAGACAGAGAGATGATGAGATAGAGAGATGATGAGATAGAGAGAGGGAGTGAGATAGAGAGATGATGAGACAGAGAGATGATGAGATAGAGAGAGGGAGTGAGATAGAGAGATGACGAGATAGAGAGATGATGAGATAGAGAGATGATGAGATAGAGAGAGGGAGTGAGATAGAGAGATGATGAGACAGAGAGATGATGAGATAGAGAGAGGGAGTGAGATAGAGAGATGACGAGATAGAGAAATGATGAGACAGAGAGATGATGAGACAGAGAGATGATGAGACAGAGAGATGATGAGACAGAGAGATGATGAGACAGAGAGATGATGAGACAGAGAGATGATGAGACAGAGAGAGGGAGTGAGATAGAGAGATGATGAGACAGAGAGATGATGAGATAGAGAGATGATGAGATAGAGAGAGGGAGTGAGATAGAGAGATGATGAGACAGAGAGATAATGAGATAGAGAGAGGAGTGAGATAGAGAGATGACGAGATAGAGAGATGATGAGATAGAGAGATGATGAGATAGAGAGAGGGAGTGAGATAGAGAGATGATGAGACAGAGAGATGATGAGATAGAGAGAGGGAGTGAGATAGAGAGATGACGAGATAGAGAAATGATGAGATAGAGAGAGGGAGTGAGATAGAGAGATGATGAGATAGAGAGATGATGAGATAGAGAGATGATGAGATAGAGAGAGGGAGTGAGATAGAGAGATGATGAGATAGAGAGATGATGAGATAGAGAGAGGATGAGACAGAGAGATGATGAGACAGAGAGAGGGAGTGAGATAGAGAGATGATGAGACAGAGAGATGATGAGACAGAGAGAGGGAGTGAGATAGAGAGATGACGAGATAGAGAAATGATGAGACAGAGAGATGATGAGACAGAGAGAGGGAGTGAGATAGAGAGATGATGAGATAGAGAGATGATGAGACAGAGAGATGATGAGACAGAGAGATGATGAGACAGAGAGAGGGAGTGAGATAGAGAGATGATGAGATAGAGAGATGATGAGATAGAGAGATGATGAGACAGAGAGAGGGAGTGAGATAGAGAGATGATGAGATAGAGAGATGATGAGATAGAGAGATGATGAGACAGAGAGAGGGAGTGAGATAGAGAGATGATGAGATAGAGAGATGATGAGACAGAGAGAGGGAGTGAGATAGAGAGATGATGAGACAGAGAGATGATGAGACAGAGAGAGGGAGTGAGATAGAGAGATGACGAGATAGAGAGATGATGAGACAGAGAGATGATGAGACAGAGAGAGGGAGTGAGATAGAGAGATGATGAGATAGAGAGATGATGAGATAGAGAGATGATGAGACAGAGAGAGGGAGTGAGATAGAGAGATGATGAGATAGAGAGATGATGAGATAGAGAGATGATGAGATAGAGAGATGATGAGACAGAGAGAGGGAGTGAGATAGAGAGATGATGAGACAGAGAGAGGGAGTGAGATAGAGAGATGATGAGATAGAGAGATGATGAGATAGAGAGATGATGAGACAGAGAGAGGGAGTGAGATAGAGAGATGATGAGATAGAGAGATGATGAGACAGAGAGATGATGAGACAGAGAGAGGGAGTGAGATAGAGAGATGATGAGACAGAGAGATGATGAGACAGAGAGAGGGAGTGAGATAGAGAGATGACGAGATAGAGAGATGATGAGACAGAGAGATGATGAGACAGAGAGAGGGAGTGAGATAGAGAGATGATGAGATAGAGAGATGATGAGACAGAGAGAGGGAGTGAGATAGAGAGATGATGAGACAGAGAGATGATGAGACAGAGAGAGGGAGTGAGATAGAGAGATGACGAGATAGAGAGATGATGAGACAGAGAGATGATGAGACAGAGAGAGGGAGTGAGATAGAGAGATGATGAGATAGAGAGATGATGAGACAGAGAGATGATGAGACAGAGAGATGATGAGACAGAGAGATGATGAGACAGAGAGATGATGAGACAGAGAGATGATGAGACAGAGAGAGGGAGTGAGATAGAGAGATGATGAGATAGAGAGATGATGAGACAGAGAGAGGGAGTGAGATAGAGAGATGATGAGACAGAGAGATGATGAGACAGAGAGATGATGAGACAGAGAGATTATGAGACAGAGAGATGATGAGATAGAGAGATGATGAGACAGAGAGATGATGAGACAGAGAGATGATGAGATAGAGAGATGATGAGACAGAGAGATGATGAGACAGAGATATGATGAGACAGAGAGATGATGAGACAGAGAGATGATGAGACAGAGAGATGATGAGACAGAGAGATGATGAGACAGAGAGATGATGAGACAGAGAGATGATGAGATAGAGAGATGATGAGACAGAGAGATGATGAGACAGAGAGAGGGAGTGAGATAGAGAGATGATGAGACAGAGAGATGATGAGATAGAGAGATGATGAGACAGAGAGATGATGAGACAGAGAGATGATGAGACAGAGAGATGATGAGACAGAGAGATGATGAGACAGAGAGATGATGAGACAGAGATATGATGAGACAGAGAGATGATGAGACAGAGAGATGATGAGACAGAGAGATGATGAGACAGAGAGATGATGAGACAGAGAGATGATGAGACAGAGAGATGATGAGATAGAGAGATGATGAGACAGAGAGATGATGAGACAGAGAGAGGGAGTGAGATAGAGAGATGATGAGACAGAGAGATGATGAGATAGAGAGATGATGAGACAGAGAGATGATGAGACAGAGAGATGATGAGACAGAGAGATGATGAGACAGAGAGATGATGAGACAGAGAGATGATGAGACAGAGAGATGATGAGATAGAGAGATGATGAGATAGAGAGAGGATGAGACAGAGAGAGGGAGTGAGATAGAGAGATGATGAAATAGAGAGATGATGAGATAGAGAGATGATGAGATAGAGAGAGGATGAGACAGAGAGAGGGAGTGAGATAGAGAGATGATGAGATAGAGAGATGATGAGATAGAGAGATGATGAGACAGAGAGATGATGAGACAGAGAGAGGGAGTGAGATAGAGAGATGATGAGACAGAGAGATGATGAGACAGAGAGAGGGAGTGAGATAGAGAGATGACGAGATAGAGAAATGATGAGACAGAGAGATGATGAGACAGAGAGAGGGAGTGAGATAGAGAGATGATGAGATAGAGAGATGATGAGACAGAGAGATGATGAGACAGAGAGATGATGAGACAGAGAGATGATGAGACAGAGAGAGGGAGTGAGATAGAGAGATGATGAGACAGAGAGATGATGAGACAGAGAGAGGGAGTGAGATAGAGAGATGATGAGATAGAGAGATGATGAGACAGAGAGATGATGAGACAGAGAGAGGGAGTGAGATAGAGAGATGATGAGACAGAGAGATGATGAGACAGAGAGAGGGAGTGAGATAGAGAGATGATGAGATAGAGAGATGATGAGATAGAGAAATGATGAGACAGAGAGATGATGAGACAGAGAGAGGGAGTGAGATAGAGAGATGATGAGATAGAGAGATGATGAGACAGAGAGATGATGAGACAGAGAGATGATGAGACAGAGAGAGGGAGTGAGATAGAGAGATGATGAGATAGAGAGATGATGAGATAGAGAGATGATGAGATAGAGAGATGATGAGACAGAGAGATGATGAGATAGAGAGATGATGAGATAGAGAGATGATGAGACAGAGAGATGATGAGACAGAGAGATGATGAGACAGAGAGATGATGAGACAGAGAGATGATGAGACAGAGAGAGGGAGAGAGGCGGGGTTCGGACATCGAGTTGAGGGCGCGGAGAGAGAGGGGACGGGGTGGTGGGTGGTGGTGGGGGGTGGTGGGGGGACGGGGTGGGTGGTGGTGGGGGGGTGTCTGCAGTGCAGCAGGGAGGGAGGGGGGGCGAGCGAGCGAGGTGGTCTCAGTGAGCGTCGCCTCTTCATCCTCAGCAGCACCACCACCATTCGGCTGAGTCGAATTCCTCTCACCTCGCAACGCTCCACCACCACCACCATCGCCACGTGGAGTGAGGCAGTGGACGAGGAGGCAGTGAAGGATGAGAAAGGAGTGAAGGAAGGAGTGAAGGAAGGAAGGACAAGAAGAAGCAGATCTACAGAGAAGAAGGAGGCGGAGGAGAGTTGCCCATCGACCACCCACTCGCGTGTCGCAGGAAGCGTCTTGGCCGCGTCTCTCTCCCCTCCCGTCGGCGTCCCTCGGCTCGGACTGCTCCTCGTGCCTCTGCGCTCGCCCCCAGCTCACTCGGCGTGAGATGCTGAACGACCACCACGGAACGAGGCCCTGACAGTCGCGCCGCGTGTGATTGCTGAATTACTTTGAACGTAATCGTGGGGAGTGATTCTTCCATTGCACGTGAGTAGAGTCTCTGTCTCTCTGTGCGTGTGTGTTCGTTGTGCTTGCGTAGCAGCCGTAGCAGCAGCGTCGTCAGATCATCGTTGTTGTTGTTTTAAAATTGATGAGAGCGATGGGACGAGCGGTGGCGCACCGCTTAGCGCGCTGCTCCGATGCAGAGGGCGGCTGAGCGAGTTGTCGGATTCTCAGCTTGCCAACAAACGACCCTCATTCGCCAGCCCGCCATTGACCAGCATTGGGGAAGTATGACTCAAAGTGTGGACTGTGTTCTTATTTGACCAGCTAAGGTCCCGCAAACTTGCTGCGTAGCGCAACTTATTTTTTTTCAGAAGTGACCCCATCGCCATCGCAAATGAGAGCTCAGCGAAGGGGTTCATCGTCATCGTCAGCATCATCATCGTGTCGTGGACATTCATAGCAGATAAATACTCCAAATGCGTTGTTTCTACAGACTCATAGAGACCCACAGATACTCATAGAGACCCATACTCATAGAGACCCACAGATACTCATAGAGACCCATACTCACATAGACCGATAGAGACCCACAGAGACCCATACTCATAGAGACTCATACTCATCCAGACCCATAGACCCACAGAGACCCATACTCATCCAGACCCATAGACCCCCAGAGACCCATACTCATCTAGATCCATAGACCCACAGAGACCCATACTCATCCAGACCCATAGACCCGCAGAGACCCATACTCATCCAGACCCATAGACCCACAGAGACCCATACTCATCCAGACCCATAGACCACCAGAGACCCATACTCATCCAGACCCATAGACCCACAGAGACCCATACTCATCCAGACCCATAGACCCACAAAGACCCATACTCACAGAGACCCATAGACCCACAGATACTCATAGAGACCCACAGAGACCCATAGACCCACAGAGACCCCAGAGACTCAAACTCAAACTAAACTATGTTAGTGTTACCAGGTAAGGACCCACTGAGCTATGTAGCGCTCTGTCAGAAGCGACCTGCACATCAGAATTGACAGCTCAACCAAGTGGCTCATCGTCATCATCATCATCATCACGTGGAAAATGTATATCAGTAGTCAAATACTCTAAACGCGTCGTGACGTTCATTGTAAACGTGGACGGGGAAAAAACGGAGGACCCGGAGAAAAATCCACGCCACCATCACGGGGAGAGAGAGAGACAGAGAGAGAGACGCAGACTCCAAATATACAGCAGCAGGCATCGTCATGGTCTGGATCGAACCCACGACCTCCTGCATACCGGGCGAGGTAGTTAACATCTCCTAGCCACCAAGCAACCCGCGCGTGACCGACTGGGAGTGGGGGAGGGCTTCATCCAGCAGTGGATCGACCACAGTCTGCACGCAGCCGTGATAACATCGACTAAAAGCTGAACATGACATTTAGATAATGTTCACCAAGATTGGGCATTCGCTGTAAATATACCTGCCGCTATGATTTAATATAATCCCGTGATATCGTATGTATATATATATATACACACACTTTAATAATCGCGGAGTGAACTTTACAATTCTGCGTACGACGAATTCGCCTTTCGGGGCTTTACCGATCCACGGCTGGTCGATGGCCTGGTCAGCTGAGCTCTCTCCGAGAGGGTCGTTTAACCATACTTCACCACCCTGGTCACGGTGACAGTGTCGAGGTGGCCGCGTCGCGTGGAGAGGGGCCGGTGGGCATCGAAATCTGAACATCAGATTGTCAATGTCCGTGGCCTGGCTCTCCAACACACAGCCGGTGTTGCTGTACTCGTAGCGAATTGGCCACGTTCTAGAGATAGGTTTTTACCCTTTCAACTGGTACAACAACTGACACCTTTATACAAGGGATCATGTTTGCAATAACCGCAACACAAGCAGTCAAAATGCAAACAAAAAGAAACACCTCTGATAATGATAATTTGATAATAGCTGTTTCTTTTTGTTTGCATTTTGACTGCTTGTGTTGTGGTTATTGCAAACATGATGCCTTGTATAAAGGTGTCAGTTTTTGTACCAGTTGAAAGGGTTGAAACCCAATCACTATATGTTGCCACTGGTAAAGAAGATGTCTCATAGTGTAAATGGCCACGTTCTGTTAACGGGACGCAACTTTAGTAATTGGCTGTTTCGGGTGGTGGCGGGTTTAACGACACTTTTATATATTTACGCGATCTCACCCCAAACACAACCGTATAATGAATGATATTGGTCGCGAAAGCCTCCTCCGTGTGAAAGCGAACATTGTATTTTATTCTGGGGGAATCCGATGAGCGACAATGCTCTTTTTCGCACATGTCACTAGGTTACAAAAACAAAACACAAAACACGATAGGAGCGCAAAGTATAGGAAAGGTAAATAAATCACTAAGAAAAAAATACGAAAAAAACTAAAATGTGTTTTTATTTGACCGGGCAAGGTTCGTTCCACTGAGCGACGTTATTATTTTTCAGAGGCGTCCATGGCAATCACGAATGATAACCCAGCTTAGGTGGCTTATCACCACCATCACCACCATCACCACCATCATCATGTGCAAATGTGTAGCAGCCAAATAACTCTAAACGCGTGATGTCGAGTCTAAATGTGGAGGGAAAACACCGGAAGATCCCGAGACAAAATCCACGCGACCACGGAGAGAGAGACAGAGAGAGAGACGCAGACTCTAAAGATACCTGGGGTGATGTGTAAACACCGTCACTAGGGAGACAAAGGCGGCCGGGCGTGGTTCTGGCCACCCACCCCCCTCGTGTGCCGTGCCGGCCTTCATAGGTGCTCGCTAACAGCACTTGCCCCCCTACAGTATGTTAAGGCTATATGGGGGATCTTTGTCTTTGTGTGTGCGGAATTGTGGCGTAGCGGGTAGCGATCAGGGTCGAGATCGAACTCACGACCTCCTGTATACCAGGCGAGGTAGTCAACATCTCCTAGCCGCCGCGATCTCAACGAAACATCGATGATGAATCAGGTGTGCGGTTGTTTTTCCAGATGCACACAAACATAAATTGTATAGACACAGATCCCCCGTATAGCCCGTAACAGACTGTTGGGGCAAGTGCTGTTAGTAGCGAGTAGCAGCAGCGCCTATGAAGGCTACCGGCGGCACTGTGGCACACGAGGGGGTGGGTGGGTGGTCAGCGCCACGCCCGGCCGCCTTTGTTTCGCCAGTGGCGATATTTACACATCGCACCAGGTGCTCGTTTCAGGTTGAGTCGACCTAGGGGAGGCCCGGGATCGGTTCAGATAATCGTCGCCGGTTGGGCCGTGAGCGGGAATCGAACCCGGGTCGCCACGTTCAATGCGCAGCGTGCTAACCGCTACACTACCGCTCCCCCACACACACACAGACACACTCACACAGACACACACACACGCAGACACACACACACGCAGACACACACACACGCAGACACACACACACACACAGACACACACAGACACACTCACACAGACACACACACACGCAGACACACACACACGCAGACACACACACAGACACACACGCAGACACACACACACGCAGACACACACACACGCAGACACACACACACACACGCAGACACACACACACAGACACACACAGACACACTCACACAGACACACACACACGCAGACACACACACACGCAGACACACACACAGACACACACACGCAGACACACACACACGCAGACACACACACGCAGACACACACACACAGACACACACAGACACACTCACACAGACACACACACACGCAGACACACACACACGCAGACACACACACAGACACACACACGCAGACACACCCACACACAAAGACACACACACACACGCAGACACACACACAGACACACACACACAGACACAGACACGCAGACACACACATATATATACAAATACGCATATATACACATGCACACACCCATACATCCGAAGAGAAAAATACAAACATATACATACAGACACACACACACAGATAAAGATCCCCCGTGTAGCCTAAACAGACTGTTGGGGCAAGTGCTGTTGGCGAGTAGCAGCACCTATGAAGGCCGGCACGGCACACGAGGGGCTGGGTGGCCAGCACCACGCCCGGCCGCCTTTGTCTCCCTCGTGGCGATGTTTACTACAAACCGCACCGGGGACTCGTTTGAGGCTGAGTCGACCTAGGAGAGGCCCAGAACCGGTAAAATATTCGCCACTGTTATATATATATATACAAATATCATACAAAAATCCATGTAACAGACTGTTGGGGCAAGTGCTGTTAGCGAGCACCTAATGAAGGCCGGCACGGCACACGAGTGGGTGGGTGGCCAGCACCACGCCCGGCCGCCTTTGTCTCCCTAGTTGCGATGTCCTTCCCACTGTGGGGTGGGAAGGACAACAAACTAAACACAACAACAACAACAAACTGAACACAACAACAACAACAAACTAAACACAACAACAACAAACTAAACACAACAACAACAAACTAAACACAACAACAACAAACTAAACACAACAACAACAAACTAAACACAACAACAACAACAAATTAAACACAACAGCAGCAGCAGGCAGTTGTAGAGACATTAGTTCGTCAATGTCGATGTTGATGATGATGGCTGCGATGACGATGATGATGACGACGGAGATGACGATGATGACGATGATGACGATGATGATGACGACGACGATGATGACGATGATGACGATGATGACGACGACGATGACGACGATGATGACGATGATGATGACGACGATGATGACGACGATGACGATGATGACGACGACGATGATGACGATGATGATGACGACGACGATGATGACGATGATGACGATGATGACGACGACGATGACGACGATGATGACGATGATGACGACGACGATGATGACGACGATGACGACGATGATGACGACGATGATGACGACGATGATGACGACGATGATGACGATGATGATGACGATGACGATGATGACGATGATGATGACGACGATGATGACGACGATGACGACGATGATGACGACGATGAT